CAGGAGTCCTGAGCTGCAAAATCCAAACATGAAAAAAATAAATAAAATTCAAAAGCGTGACCCCCCTAAAAGAGAAAAGAAAAAAGAAAACAGATTAAACTGAAAATGTTCCCTTTTTTAAAAAAAAAAATGTTTTGTTTCGCACTTTAGGACCTCCATACTAGAGTTTGAACAACATGCACAAACAATGTCATGCAGAGTTGCCCCATCAGGCATTAATATACTTCTTCTTGCTGTTCGGTTGGAAAGATGTTCCAACAAATTGTGAGAATGACACTTGAATATATTTAAACATTGAAACTGTGAAATTTTCTTTACCTTCAGTTTAAAATGTACCTACACTAAAAAAAAGGAAACACAGTGAGGACTGTGAAGTGTGGCAATCAGTACATTAATATGAAATACTGGAAGATGTAAGTACAAGAAGAAAATGTACCCTGCAAGTATGAGTACACGATTGTGTAAACACAAATCACAGAACTGTTTCCCGTAGCCTGCAGGCAGAGTTCTGCTCTGTGTGCCACTCCCAAGAGCATGGGAGGAGGCTGCTGAAGGAGGGGACTGACTGCAGAGTGTCAAGCCCACACAGGTGAACTCCTGCTGGGGTGGAATGCAACGGGCGGGAGGGGGGGCTGACGCACAGAGGTGTGGACCTTTTAACTTAACAGGGTGGGGAAGATGGAGGCGGCGGAAGGGAGTTAACTCTATCTGTTAGAACTACTCACCTGGATAGGAAAGTGTGTGTGTGTGTGTGTGTGTGTGTGTGTGTGTGTGTGCGTGAGCATGCAGGAGCAAAAGGAGGGATCAAGTCACAGCCCTCGCAGTATATTCACTCAGCTGCTCTCACTGAGTCTCATATCTCTCCCACATACACTCTGAGACACACACACACTCACTCTTACTTGAGTGAGCGGAGTTTGAGGGCAAATAAGTCAATATTTGACCAGAGCGGACTGTACAGGAACAAAGAAACAGAAGAAAGTAGAAGCTGGAAGTGCGTCCGTTTCTGTTTGTAAGGGGAACTGTCAACTTGGTCACAAGGATTTGAAGTTTTTGGGTTTTTTTTCCTTTTTCTGCTAACAGGTGGATACAAAAACTCTTCACCAAACTCCTGGGTCAAACAAAGCAGAGAGAAAAAAAACAGGGAAATAGTTTTCTTATTTATTGCTGCACCTTTGGACCTGGACTGGGCGAGAACACAGTAACAGGTTTGTTTGATCAGTAATCTCTTTGTGTGCGGTTGTAAATTGCCTGATGGCTCCATTGTTTTCAGCGTCCTCTTTAAACGATAATCGCAGAGCTTTGAGAAATCGACTGGCTACTCTACCTGTTGGTGTTTGCGTGACTTTTGAGCGAAGTGTCTGGCTGTAAAATGTGTGTTATATAACTTTATATCAGGCCACATGGTTTTAGAATTGCATGCAAGACCGATGACTGAGGTTTAAACAAAGTTGCTTTAAGTTTACTTGTTATTTTCTTTTTTCTTTGTGTGTGTTTGTGAATTTGGCTTCTCGTTCTGCATGATTGCTCACATCAAAACCCAGACTGCAGTGTAGCACAGGTGAAGTGGATCAACTATGGGGAGAGTAAAACTGCTTCTTTTGCTGATATCAAACCTCCAGACCTGTTGTGTTGCTGCTTGTTTTGTGCTGTTTGTGGTTTTAAGGGAGGAATTTGCAGATAGCAGGGCGGGTTTCAGGTGTCACCCTTCAAACATGTTACAAAAGACCCTCCTGCCCTTTCACTGACGATGTCAAGACGAGGTCGGACCCGCACCCAGCGGTGGTATGTTCACCTTGCGGGCATGTTGTTGTCTGTGCAGAAACAAGCCCAGCTTAATGCCCCGCAGACTCTTTCTGAGCAAAGAAAAAAACAAAAAACAGCACGAATGACTCTGCTCGGTTTTCTGTCCCCTCAAAGCTGTAATTTGTGTCAGTGTCAGTGTCAGAAATGCCTGCGTGCCTTTGATTTCGCCTGAGTGGGAGCAAAATACAAAGTTGCACTTTTTTTTAGCTCATATTCGACGACTCATGATTAAGTTTGGGGATAAGAGCTGGTTTGTTCTGTGTTTCAGGCCCAGCTCTTTATTGCTCACGCACACACCTGCAGCCAGCTCAAGTTCACACCGAGTTGCCAGGTTGGCTTTCCCATGTGTTTTTCAGGCCGTGTTTTTAACTCGCACAGGTCATTCTCTCGCCCGAAGGAGAAATTCCTTTTCAGGGTTGTAAATCTTCGTGGCGCGAATCACCTTCTTTTCTTCCTGTTTTTTCTGCGTGTGCACTCAAATCGCATGTGCCCACTGCAGCAATTACAGAGACATTTCATGCCACACAGCGCCCTTTGTTCAGTGGAGTGGTTTTTGCAGCTTCCATCCAAGATTCCAGAATGAAATTATAAAGTGGTTTTGTTGTGAAGAGGCTGCACAGCGTGCTGCTGCGAATATTTCCAGGTCCCACCCTGCATCCGCCCTTTCATGTCAGGATTCGATCCATCACTCTGCTGCAAAGATAAAGTTTGCTGGGAACCTTTTTTTCTTTATTGATCTGTATCTGAGATTTCCACCTACACCGTTACAGTGGAGCTGTATTGAATGTGTGTAGTGCAAGATGTACGGTCCCCATTATTGGGCACGATCGACCTCAGAAGCAGCTTTTTCTTCTGCTGAAGTTTCTTCTAGAGAAGTCAGTTAACAGTTTGAATTAGAGATGACGATTTATTTATTGTATTTGGCTGTACTAACATATTCTCTCTTTGCTAACACTCCTAAGAAGTGTCCAGTGTTTTAAAGAATAGAAATCAGTGAATGTATTTTAATAGGGTCTAGTGTTTGTCTTTGGAAGCTGCTGTTTTCCCAAACTGAAGTGAAGGTAAGGAGCGTCTGGGCCTGGTCTCTCTGTCTGGCCCCGAGAGTGCAGGTGGTTCAAATTACACCAGAGGAAAGTAGATTCTCTGACCTTCTTATTTTTCTTTTCTTTCCCTAAAAGTGGATTTGAGAATTCTTCTACATTAGATTTTTTTCAAATTTGTTCTGTTTCTCTTGCAGGAAGGCGATGGGGAGATGGACGTTACATCTCTCGGTAGGGATCGCGCTTGTAGCGGTCCTGTTGACCTGCTCCTATGCTGAAGGTGAGAAAGACCAGATACGTGTTACCTCAACGAGACACACATTTATTTAATGAGAACATTTATTGTGAAATATTTCTCAGTGCTGTTTGTTTGAAGCCACTGAGGTGTAGATTGACAGAACCTGCGCTATCTGCAAACTGTCTTGTGATCATTTTCACCAGATTTGTACACTCATTTCATTATGTCGACTAAATTACAAATTGATTACTGAAAGCTATAACTGGCGTATTCTTTTTTTTTTATGAATGAAGAAGTTGGATTTGACCATAATTTTATAAAAGCTCTATTAAACCTGCTGGTTTAGCCAGGACCAAAATGAGAGACTACAGATTTGAAGATGTGTTTGGTGTCAGTTGAGCTGCTGTTCACAGGTTCTGTTCTCACTGCGTTTCCTCTCTGTGATTCCTTCTGAGAGCGTTTCATTTTCTTTCTGCTCCAACAGAGAACTACTGCTTCGCCTCCAGGGCCAGCTCCTGCTCAGAATGTCTGCAGGCCGGGGTCGGCTGCGCTTACTGCTCTGAAGAGGTGAGAGTAAAAAAACTGCAGAAATACGAAAGAGCAGGAAGACGATTCATTCTCAATGTTCTCATTTTTAGCATTTTGAATTTCAGGTGACACTGTTGCCTTATGTGAAGTGGTGAAGTTTATCTATTAGGTTGTAGTCAACAACTAATACATAAACAATGACATTTTAATGACAGAAAAGTTCCTGTTTTTCAACTATACACTAAAGAAGTGTCTGGTTTGTTTTTTTCTTGAAGTAAATTCACAGAACAAAGGATATTTTCTGTGAATTAATGAAAACTTTATGTTTTATAATTACAGGACAGTTTGGGCAATGAACTACAAAAACCTTTTCTGTGATTTTACATATTTATCATGTAGTTTCACTGCTCCGACCCACTTAAGTCTGTTGTATATGTTCTGTATAATGAGTGTCACGTCCCTGGTCTATAGACTGAATGCATTCCCTTTCCAACCATCTTACCTAAGTGGTCAAATGAAGATTCTGCAGGAAAGCAGTCTTCACAAATCAATCTTCCTTCTCACTCAGACCTATAACGGCCCTCGCTGTGACCTGCATAAGAACATAATTGTCCATGGCTGCCAGGCTGCAAGCATCATTACAGTTAAAAGCAGCCGGGAGATACTAAAGGTAAGTCCTGATCACTCTTCCACCAGTTTGGCCTCAGATTAATTGTTTTCAGTCAAAAGAATTTCTAGATTTCAACTTTCACGTGTTCTTCTTCTTCTATCTCTCCTTCTGCGCAGAGCGAATCAATCGACGTCAATCTTCAGAAGTCTCAGGTGTCACCACAGAGTACCATGATGACCTTCCTGCCAGGGGAGGAGAAAAACATGACGGTGCAGGTGTTTGCCCCAGAGAAAGGCCCTCTGGATCTTTATATTCTTATGGACTTCTCAAATTCCATGGAGGACGATTTGACCAACTTGAAAAACATGGGGAAAGATTTGGGTGAGCATCCTTGCAAAGGCGATGTGTCCTGATGAGTGTCGATGTTATACTGACTGGGAATGTATTTCCTGTAGCTTCGCTGGTGAAGAAGCTGTCGAATGACTACACTATTGGATTTGGAGAGTTTGTGGACAAAGTGATAGAGCCCCAGACTGACATGAGGCCCATCAAGTAAGAAAAAATGAAGAAAGTTGAGCACAGTCTGTACGTGCATTAGCACAGTCAAAACATAATTTCCTCTTTGTCTTTTTTCCATCCTCTTTGTCAGACTTAAACAGCCATGGCCCAACAGCGACCCTCCGTTTGCTTTCAAAAATGTCATTAAATTGACAAGCAACGTAGGTGAATTCACCCAGGAACTTCAGAAGGAGAGAATTTCTGGAAACCTGGATGCCCCAGAGGGAGGTTTCGATGCCATATTGCAGGCTGCAGTGTGCGGGGTAAATAAAAATACTAAACAGTGTTGCCATGCCTACATTTGTGTTAAATTCACAGGTCTAAGACTGTCACCAGGTCTGTTTTCTGCCGCTTGTCTGGGCCAGGTCGCAGGGGCAGCAGCTTAAGTAGAAAAGCCCAGTCCGTTAAACAATCACCTCCTCGAGCTCATCCACCGAAACACAAGCATTCCCAGGACAGCAGAGAGATGTAATCTCTCCACTGTGTGCTGGATCTACCCCAGGACCTACTCCTGTTCTACCTCTCCTGGTAGGAAATGCCCAGAACACCTAAAACAGGAGGCATCTTTGTCAGATGCCCAACTAGCTCCTTTCTTCCTCAGGAAGAGGCAGAAAGCCACCTGTCAGAGAAAGCTAATTTCTACTGTTTGTATCCACAATTGTATTCTTCTAGTTACTTCCCAGGGCTTGTAATCACAGCTGAGAGTAGGTTCATAGACTGACAGCTTCACTTTGACTCTCTGCTCTCTTCACTACGACGGACCTGTACATCACATCACTGCAGATGTGATACAAGTTGGTCTGTCAACCCCTCTCTTTTCCCTCTCTCCTCGTTTGTGAGCAAGACCCTGAGATACTGAAACTCCTCCGCTTGGGGCAGCAACCTGGAGCGGACACTTCACCCTCTTCCTGCTCAGAACTATAGCCTCAGATATGAAGGTGTTCATTCCAGCTCAGCTCTCAACTGTTCCAGTGCTGGAGATCACCACCTGATGAAACTAAGAGAACCACATCATGAACAAAAAAGCAGAGACAAGATCCTTAGCGAACCGAAGTGGAAGCATAATGTCCATCCTTTACAAAATTCTGAACAGCACTGATGATAATAGGGCTGGGCGATATGACCTAAAATTCATATCTCGATATTTTTTAGCTGGGTGGCGATATAAGATATATATCTCGATATTTTTTTAAAGCCGTAAGTTAAGAACAAAAAGAGAGTTCTTAGTCACACTGTGTCCCAGATGTCACACAGGCATTTTTATTTACATACAGCATAATTTACATGAAGAAATTACTCAAAAATAAATTATCAGCATTTATTAAATAATCATGCTCCATAAATAAAAGAAAACAATGTTGTTTTTGTGCATAACAACAAGCTCATAATTGTGCAGTCAAAATGTAAACTAACAGAC